AAATAGCATACGTTGTTATTTATAGGCCTTGGCAATTTGGAGAAAAAATCCTAAGCCAACCTTTGACAAGAAGGGATGGTTCTGTTGCCTTGGACCAAAGGCTGAGTTATCCAAGGACCCTGCTCTGACAGTGGCTCATAACAGCAACACAGGGAAGCACAAACCCAAAGCAAACCTTTAACGCTTCCCCTGGTATATTCCACTGACAACAGCAGAAAATTAGAAAAGAGATGGGAGTGACTCAAAGGTTAATTTCATAATTATGCAGCACTAAGGCTGTTAATAAACCTACTCAGCACACACTTGGAGACACAAGAGGGACTGCTCTGTGAAAACTTCCTACCTGGATGAGTAAATAAGTGAAGTGAGACAGCAAATGATTCTCCAACAGGCAAATGTTTGGGTAAATATTTGCATGGATAAGGTGCTGAGAGGGACATTTCATTGTCAAGTTCTAAACACCCATGAACTTTTGAATCCACTCTTCCCAGCCCTAGACACACATCCCTGCTGTGAGTGTCCAGGAAGGAAGGAAGGAAGGAAGGAATCAGAATCAGGGAATCAGAATCATGGAATCAGACTCTTGTTCATGCTGTCATTATGTCCATACCTGACCTGGTGCAACTCACCTTTCTCTTGTTTAAGGAGCAAAGCTTCTACTTCACATCCTTCCAAACTTGCTATTTACAGAGATTTATGACTAGACCTTATTTGATGCCCCACACATTCCAGAAATATCAGTTACAGGAGACTGGAATATTGTAAAAAAATTGAACATGTAACACAGTAGTACAGACCAATTTGTTTTATTCTTTTCTCTTTTCTGTGTGATTTTGTATTTCTCTTACACACTCAATAGGGAAAATACAACACAATTTTAAATCAACTCAATGGCATTTTACTAAGACCAGAAATTAAATGCATGCATTTATCATCTAGGATTTTATCTAGAATATGCCCAGACCTGGGACTCTGAGAAATCCTCCCTGCAGAGGCAGGTGAACAAAACAGGACCAGCACTGAGACCTGAGAAGCATGACCAAAGGAAAAGAGAAAAAGCCCCAAAAGGGGGCTTTCTTTAACCTTGTACTGCCCTCAGCAACACTCCAGGAGCTAACAATAAAGTAAAATAAAGACACTAAAGGCACTAAAAGACAATGACAAGACAAAAAGCATTATGTGATTAGGCATGAGGTTAGTAAGGATTCCCTTTTTAAGGAGTTTCTGAGTGGTTTCCCCTCTTTTTTCCAGGTGAGCCCTGCCTTTGTGGTTCAAGTCAGCAGTTTTTGGAGGAGACATAACACTGTAATGTTAAGAATATGCACTGGTGAGGCTGGGAAAGTTCAAAAAACTACATTTTCAGTCTACCTTCTTGTGAAGGATGGCAGTCCAGCTCCTGAGGCATAAAGAGAAGCTCTGGAATTCCATCAGGAAGGAAAACGGTGCTACATAAGAGACATTATAGCTGCTGAAGTGAAAGCAAGTGAACAACAGCCTCCCCACAGTGACAGTGGTGGTGGCCAGCTGAGGAGAGGCCATTTGAGAAAACCAGATTATTTCTTCAGGGAAACAGGCACAAAATAATGTTCCTCCCAGAGAACAGGCTGAAATCACGTCTTCCATAACAATAATTAACTCAAATAGGGTTACCAGCAGTGAGAAATACTGAAGAAAAGAATTTTAAAAATAAGTATTCATCAACAGCAGTTATAAGGGGCACTTGTAAAGCCAGCTGAGCCACTGTCACTTTTCCTCTACCAGATGAGGAACCTGCAAAAAGCAACAAGACCTTGACGATAAAGCCTTAGTATTAGTGCCATGTGGAAAGAAAAGTCCTATAATTTATGTTATTGCCACAAAAAGACATGCATAAATGGGAAGCTATTGCAGGGAGGAATTAATGAAACTGAAGAAGTGATTAAAAAATTCAGTCCAATTCCCCAAGGTCAAGTGTTGTTCAGAGAAAAAAAAAAATCACCTGCATAAATATAGAAACAACTGCTGAGCAGCTGCACTGTAGATAAGGATTGGGGATGGAGAGGATCAGAGACTGAGCACAAATTATAAATATCCAGTTGTCACAAACAAGGCAACTTCTATCCATTGACAGGAATACAAATTCCTGATCCTCTCAGTTTTGATGAAGCCTTTGGGAAAGTCCACTTTTGGGAAAGGCTTGCTGGGAATGTGAGAAATGACACCCCAGAATGACAAGCAAAGGCAAAGAGGTCATCAGGTGAGCTCTGAGGGATGGGGGAGGTAACTCAGTGAGGTGGCTCAGTCTGGACAGAGTGAAATGAGAAGCTAAGAATGAGATATGATATGTTTCAACTAAATACAGAAACAGTTTCTTCAAAGAAAGAGAGAAGTCATATTCCACATTCTACAGTGAACAGGAAAAACAATGGACTCAAAGTGCAACAAGAAAAAATTACTCTGGCTGTGAGAAGAACTTTTCTAAATGGTAACCAGGGAAGCACCAGCGTAAGGAACTTGTTTCCTCTATTAAAAAGGAAACAACTAATTTCACAAAAACTGTACAGCAATAGTGATATTGCTTTGATGCAAAAGATGAACTTTGGGAACTTCTGAGGGATCTTCTGTGAAGATATGGAAGCACTGAAAGCTTTTCAGCAACAGCACAAGCTGAAAAATTCCTCTGATCTTTTGCAGTGCAAGGTCTCATCAAATTAAAACATTCCGTCCTTGCTACTGTTACACAACCCTTTTGAGGAGTAATATTCAGATTTTCTACCAAAAAACCTACAGAAACTGCTGAAAGCCCATTAAGATAGCAGAACTCAAGTCATGAGACTGCCAGAATAAGGCTCTATATTTAGTACCAACAGTTTTCTCTGTAGTACTGTGATAAAGTTCCTTCAAGAAGAGTGGATCAGCTCTATGTAAATATTCTCAAGGCAAACAAAACCTGCTCAGCATCTTCCTCCCAGACCCATGTCTCTCATGAAGCTTTCAGTAGGTTTTGCTTCAGAGCTCACTGCTTTTTTTTCCCCCTCCCTCCCAAGAGACTTCTTCTCCCCCAGTGCTCACTGCAGACCCCGTAAGAGTCCTCTTGATCTGTGTGAGGTATCACGACGCAGAATTACTCAGAGTTCATGAGTTCTGACAGCACTTTAAATAGTTACTGTCATGATTAGCAGAATATTGGAGTTTAGAACACTGAATTTGTCAGCAGTGGGGTTTGGTCCTTATTTTCAAGCATAATATTGGACACTGCAGTAGGATGGAGAAAGCACCCCAAAGGGGTCAGTGCACAGCGCCCCAAATATTTTCTGAATTAAATCACAGAACTGATCTTAAGGGACAACCAAAAGTTAAACAGACTTCACCCAAGGGGTTCCTCAAACTTCACCAATGTCCTAATACTCCAGCTCAAACCACCAGCTTTGCATTGCACAGGATTTGCCTATCCAGGGAAAACCAGCACCACATTAGTAAATCAAGTCATGGCTAAGAGAGGCTGACTGAGAGCCATGTTCAAAAGCACATCAGCTGAAGCATTAACCCTGGGACCTTCCAAGGCTTTGCGGGAGTGTTTTATAACCTCCAGTCCTCTATAAATGCCACAGTCCCCCTTAGGGCCAGACCTCCCATCCTCAAGCCTCCTCTACTCACCACAGTCATACAGAGCACTCCCATATAGAGTGCCTTGTCTATTAACCACAAAAATCAGATAAATTAGAAGCAACAGTGTCGATGAAGCAACTGATGAATTGTCACTGATGAAGCAAGGACAAGGGTGGTTCAAGCAACTAATTGCTTTCACTGAGATGGAACCAGGTTCAAATCAAGGGAGAATTCAATTCTTCAGCAAAATACTTCACCTTAATTATAGCTCGTAACAAGAGACAGCCAGAATCTAAATATATGGATGCTCTGCCTCTACAGCACCCACCACTCCTCACAGAATGGGTAAAAATTGACAGCTTTTATATTAAGAAACAAATCCCAAAATGTAGCTCCATCTCACATCTTCCTGCAATCCCACTCAGAGATGGCTCAGGCACATCCTAAAATTATGTATCTGTAGCTTTCTCTGCATGAAGCATCTCTATACAACAAAGATCTCACAAACGTAAAGAAAATGTGTAGAACAAGCCCATTTTCAGTCTCCTTGAGCGAAACAACTACATTTTCTAGCATTACACAGATAGCCAGCCACTAACTGAAGAAAACTCTAGCTAGTTTTATAGAAAAGAATAAATGATTTTTCAAGCAGCATCTACAAAGAAACAAGCAACTATTTTTTACATAGTCTTCTAAACCTAATTCCCCAAAGCTTACACAGTTTTTAGAGAATTAGCTTCTTTTCAGTTCTTATCCAGACAGATCTAAGTGGTTTGCTAACATGCAAGTTTTACCACTTAACTTTTAATATATAAAATAGATGTGGTTAAACTGAAAAACTGCATATATGAAACAGAATCAAGAGACAATATATTCTTAGGAAAGCAATACCCCAAATAAAACATGAATTTCTGCGTTTCTGGAACTTTGCTGGTGTCTACTCCAGCTACAAAAGGCTGGATTCCTCTGAGAATCTGCTTTCCCCAGCCAATCACCAGGGAAATACCATGTAAAAGTACTTACAACAATGGGAAATGATATGCTAAAGCTATCCCCTCACAAAATCAATACACCTGAATTAATAGATTCAAATGCTTTCAGACTCCAAGTTCTATTGGAAAAATGTAAACACTAGGATTAACTTCACCTCCATCTATGCACCCACCCCTTTGGCACTTATCCCTTCCTATTACTCCCATGGGAGCTGGATCCCATCAGGTCTCTGCAATCTCAGCAGGGAAATGGCTTTGGACACAACTTATAGCAAGAAGGTGAACTCAGCTCATCCCTACCTTAGAAAGGGAAGTCTATTTAGAATTTAAGGACAACTGCAGGAGTGAGCACATTATAATTTGATATCTTTTTGAGTTTCTGACTAGTTACTACAATTCAAATCTCAACAATTCTTGTACCTGATCATTGTTCCAGAAGCACTGGAAGCCCATGTCCTCTTGGCTCACTGCACATGTGCCTCCTTCTTCAAGTCACAGAAATCAAGCTGTCCTCAGAAGCTGCACCATGGGTAGTGCTTAAGACAGTCTGGTACTGAATTCTTCTCTCTAGAAAGAACAAGAAAGCTCAGAACCCTGCTGAAGTGTATTGAAAAAAAGCTCCCAAGATCAACCCAACACATCCCCTCAGCACATCGTGATGTGACGTGGCACATTCAAAGACAGCAAAGAACATCCAAAATTAAGTATGCACTTTCAAAAAGGAGCTGGAGTAGAAAAATACCTCAACATATTTAGTACATCCTTTCTTAGCACAGGCACACACTCTATAATCCTTTTATGGTACAATTTTAATCTAAATTAAGCAAGTAGCTCCAGTAAAAGAGCTCAGAGCTTACCACATTACAAAATTACATCAGGATTGGATTAGACTGTAAAATAACATACTTCAAGGTAATCTATTAATGATATTTTACACTTAATTCTATACTCAAACTCCAACCTATTTGTTTTCCTAACTTTAAGCTAATTTTAAGAAAAGCATAACTTACTACAGTCCTCCTACATACAACTCAAAATATTATTCCTGTTACCACCAGAAACATGCAAGGAGAGAGACAACTACTGAGACTCCCAGTCTTGAGCCCTCTGCACCTTTTTTCCACCCCCCTGCCCCTCTCCCCCCCAAAATTTAACAGGCTGCAAGACTTAGCCCAGCCCTTCATAAAATTAAAGAGAAATCAACACCTTGAACTTACAGAACTTTAATGCAGACACTGAACTACCTGGTCTAAAAAGAGTTTCTCTCTACCCACATGTATGGTTTTCCTCATATCCTTCAGCATCCTTCAGACACAACCAAGCTACTACAACACTGAGGGGGAGGGTTAGAAATACCAGCACCAGTGTATTGCCAGAATTAGGAGACTTAAGACAAAAAATCCATGTGGCACCACCTGCCTCACGTTCCTCACCACAGTTCAGCTGCTCTCAAGGCTACTCCCAAAGTTTGGGAAGCTCAGCACATTCCTAATTTTTTGCTAGGTAGAAGCAAGGGCCAATTGTATTTGAGAAAAACACTAAGTTTTGTGACCACTGTCATTTCATTTTTTATGTCTCCTTATCTTTGCTGGTTTGCCACAAAAACAGGACAGGTAATTCCACATTCCCAATAAGGAAAAGCTTGTGAGGTTCGGGTTAGGCTACATTCAGAGGCTCCATTTGGACAACAGGAGGATGATGATATAACAATATTCTCACATTGGAAAGTACCAATTTGTAGCATCTATGGCCCCATACCAGGCCTGCACAAACTATTTTCATTACAGAACAATTTCCAAATAAAACCTAGAGTAAACTTACAAGTATCTTAACAGTTTTATTAGACAAACTTTAGAGTTTATACTTTATGTATTAAAATGTAAATATTTACATTTGTTCACAAGAAAATTACATGGTTCTACTAAATCAATGACGAAAGCCTCAAAAGCCAGTAATTATAATTTTTACCACTATTTTAAGACAGGAAATGGTACATGTAAACATAAGGTTTATTTTCTTGCTTATGAAAATAAACACTGTAAGCAATACTACAGATGAAACAATAGTAAGATTGAAAGAATCAAAACCACACAAAATAGGAAAAAATGCATTGGAATACCTTATCCTTGCAAGCACAAATCATATACGTGTATAGGAGACAGCAGAGAAAACTGGAGAGATGTTCATAAAAAACATGAGACACCAGATGCCCAAAGTTGGCCAAATGCCACTGGAATAAATTACTGCATTTCACATGAAAAAAATACAGCTTTTAAGGACAGGTTTGAAACCACCATTTGATAACTGGCAGCCAAGGCGGGAATGGTCAGTGCCTAAATGGGAAGGGACTTGTGGGACTGGAGGACTTTCAGCACCAGATGAGTTCAGTTCTTCCTGAAGTTCCATTTACCACCACCTTTTATAGCCTTCAATTGGCTTTTAACATTTGCTTTCCACATCCAACCTGAAAGATTTCATGCCTCTATAATCCAGTCCAGAAGCCAGCATGGTGTGTGGCAGCTTCAAGCTCTTAAGAATGCATAAAAGCACTTACTAGGTAAAAACTGCCCATGTGAACAGGACAGACCCAAAAGCCAAAGGTGTGCAACACAGATATCACCCTAGCTGGGAACAAGGGTACAAACACATCTGCTGATTTAATTTTCTTCTTATTTTTTAACATAATAATCATGGACCCAAAGAATTCTTTCAATCTCCTATCTTTCATCCCGCAGAAATACCAGCAGAATTCCGAGTTATTTGGATTCAAGTGCAAACCACTGCAGATGGATTTTTGTTTAAAGAACTGAACAAACAAAACATTATTTGCTTCGAAATTCTTCTACTTGTGGTGAAAGCCGAGCTGTGCTGAAATCAATAGGACTGTTGGCATTGTTTTCAACTGAGCTGGAATTTCATTTCCTGTACCCCACTTCAGATCTGCTAAAAACCACTAGAACAGAGTTTTGACCTTTCACAACAACATCTACAGCTCAAAATAAAGCGTTTTGTGCAAAATAAATACTTACAGGGCAGGTTACATAAACAGCATGAAAGCAGCAGCTGTGGCTGGTTTCTTCAGAGAGAAAACTTTGCCCCCAGCCTGGCTGCTCTGGATTAATGATGTTCCTGTTCCAAACCCAGGCTCTGAAGCCTTAGGAACTCCCTATTCCAACTCAGCAAGGTAGGAAGGTTTGCTGTTATAACTGTTGGCTGATAACAGCTTATCAGAAAGTTTTCAAAGGTTAATCTCAGTACACATGCATGGCAAAAGTGCAAGGAAAGAATAAGGGAAATGTTGAATTAGTGCTCCCTTCTCCTCCTGCCCCTGCAGCAAGGGAGAGAACTCTCTCATACCCCATGACCTGCAGCAGTGCCAGCAAAGAAACTTCCACCAAAACTCCTGTTTGAACTGAAAACATCTGAGAGCCCCTTGCTTTCAAAGGAGGTGCTTGCTTTGCCTGCTGCATTCCCACAGGCTGCCACACGGGATGGAAAAGCTAACCAAAATCTTTAAGTTTGGTCCTTAAATACAAGGCAGTTTTATTACTGCTGCCAAATTTATCACTGACACCAAGCTCCATGACAACTCACTGGAAAACAAAAACAAAACAAAATCTTCAGTTTAGGGCATGCTATGATTTTTATTTCTATCCCAACCAACCATGTTACTGAACTGTAAAGGGCTGATGCAACCTTAAACCAGAAAAAAAAAAAAAAAAAGCCCAGTTACAGACTCATTACTAATTCATCCTGGCTGAAGCTGCATACCAGCAGCTGCTGCCTCTCTCAATTAACAGCAAATATTGAACAGTATTGTCATTTAACGGTGTTTACTGCCTGCTGCCCTGTCCACTGCCGCATTTTCAAATGCTCTGGCACAATTTAAAGCACCAACACTAATAAACAGAACTTAGTTTAACCCTTTATGTATCATAGCAGAAGTGTTTTACTCGCTTCCTACATTCATTAGGTGCTTGGCAGAAGCTGAAGCCCAAGGATGCAAGGTGCCACCAAAATGGGATCTGTAGTTCAGAGGCCCACAAGGGTGCTTGGCTTCCACAGAGGGCTGAGCACAAGTGTGAAAAATGATGGGAGTAACTCCAGCAGAACAGCTCTTTAGGAATTATTGCCAAAAAGTTGAAACAAAAGAGAAAAAAAAGGAGACCACACATTCAGCCTCTGCTGTTGAAAATTTAGAACAAAAACCCAAAACAAACTGGGTAAAAAAATAAAGATACAGCCATTCTTCAGGGAGAACATACCAGTGCTATGATTCCTGATGACCCCATCTCTGCACAGGGGAGTCAAAAGAGCCCAAATTTGGACCTCCCTTCCCATTACTGTGCCCACAGCTGCCCTTTTACCAGGCTGGGTTTGAAGTAAATGATTATACAAACTGCAGCCAGAGCAAGCAACTGGAAGTGCAGCACTTCCACGCTGCCTCCACAGGCACTTCTGTGCCCCACTTGCTCCATGGTGTCAGGTTTGCTGGAAGCCACTGCTTCATAAGGGACTGTACAGATTCTACATTTCATTTCCACGCTGTGTTCCCAGAACATCAGCAGGAGGGAACATCTCCAGGCTCTCCTATGAGCCCACTGCCAGCTGGGCCAGGGCCAACACGTGGATACCAAAGACCTGGAGAAGGGAGGGGATGATGGGCCAGCCCAACTCAACTGCAAGGTGCACACTGGCAGTTTAGATATTATGGGAAAAGATCAAGCAGCTTCTGTACTGCATTTAGAATGTACAAGATAGGATAATGTCATTCCAGCTGATCCTGAAATTGGGGAATTCAGTTATTTCTGAGGTAGCTGGACCTTTTTTCTACCCCTCCTGCAGAGGGAGCAAAGCCCCAAGGAGTGGTGCTCTGAGGGCTTGTCAAATACATGAGGGAATGGCTTGGAAAACTGGGCAGGTAAATGTAGGCCCAGGCTCTGGCCAGGGCTCTCTGTGAACTTACTTTCCTCAGGTTAGCACCTGGCTGCAAGTCCCCTCATTTTCTCAGGTCCCTCTGCTTGTATCCTGTGCAACTCCAACAGCCAGCCTGGTTTGCTGGGAGGATTCCTTCCCTCTAGGTTCCCCCATCACCTTTGTGCCCATGGGGTCTGAGGTGCTCAGATATATCAGGTGATATGACTAATACCTGCCATCTGCTCATTGCTACCTTCCCTCTCCTTTCCTGAAGAGGAGTCAGCACTAAAGTGCTTGTTCTACTCGATCTATTTTAGGAGCGTGGGCTTTCAGCATCCATGCAACACTGCTTTAAGCTAGAAGACTTAAATCAAATAAGCAGACCATGCTCTGGCAGGGAAAATTGAGCACTAGGTCCTGTAAAAGTCTCTGGACTCTTTTTTTGCAAAAGTTATCTCCACTCCAGTGTGCCCAAGGAACAGAACTATTGCCCAGGTTTCACTCCAGACCACAAAGGAGGGGCAGATGAGATCCAGGCCTTGGAAAGTATCCACTGCTCTCCATGGAGACCAAGTCAGCCAACACAGCTTGGAGCATCAACAGGCAATGTGCTGCAGCATCGGGTAATTCCCTGCTTCCAGGAGTGAGGA